ATACTTCCCAAACGATGATGATATACATTTTAGTGCTATATCGAATCAAACAAACATTTCACTAGATAAGCACATAAGCCATATCACACTACCACAGATAAGCAGATGAGCTATATCAACATTTCAACAGATAAGCATATGAGCTATATCAACACTTCAATAGATAAGCATATGAGCTGTATCAACACTTCAATAGATAAGCATATGAGCTGTATCAACACTTCAATGGGAGAGCATATGAGCTGCATCCCCGGGTCCATCCCCCATCTTCCCTTAACCATTAACCAGTTTAGAGGTACATCCCCCATCTTCCCCTAAACCGTGGAGTACATCCCCTATCTCCTCCCATACACAAGCAATGCATATAAACACAGAATCATATACGTAATCGATCAATACATAAAGTGAACGTATTCTATCAACCATCTACACATAATGGATATAAACACATTGGTCATATACACAATCAATCAATACATAAAGTTAAGGTATTCTATCAACCGTCATACTCTATGACACATCCGATTGATTAGTTTTAATTTGCCTAATCATCATGCGTTGTCTACAACAATCAATGTTACCCTCCACCGGTAACCCAAAGCAATTATTTCTAAACAGGAAATAAATGCACAAATGGATAACATATCAACATTTCCAATTCAATTCCTCATTTCCTTTAATTAATTATATGTATTAATTAATTAAAACAACTAGGGCAAATTACCTTAATTAACAAAACAACTCTAAGGTTTCATTTTTTATCCACAATCCATCGTCCAACTCATTTTCTTTTACACCAACTTGCATATAGGTTTATTTCAAACAAAACCCCAACTTTTGTAAAATTACACAAAAGGCCCAAACTTTCTCAAATCTACCCAACAACACCCAACATATCAAAATGCTAAAATTTAAAGACAAAATCCATAAGGAGGAGTAGGATATCCCTACCTCAAAAGATGGCACTCAACGGAGAAGGCGAAGAAACTCAACGTGCTCCAAAGCTCAATATTTTCGGATCAAAAGATAGCCCTCGACGATCAACCCAACTTTCAAAAAGAACAAAGGTAAGGAGAACACCCTAGCTAGATCAAACCCTAGAGAGAAGGGAGATTCTAGAGAGAGGAGCTCTCAAAAATGGGTTTTAGAAAAGTAAGAGAGAGAGAGTGGATGTAAAAAGTGATTTAAAATAGCCTAACTGTCAACTGATATACAACTCTCCCGCTCGAGCGGAGAACACAACGCTCGAGCGTCAAGGACAAAAAGCTAGGTACGCTCGACTGCAAGAAGTCCTGCTCGAGCGCCAAGACACAAGAATAAAGTACATCCGCTCGAGCGCGAAAAACAGTCCGCTCGAGCGTAGATTTCTCCCTCCCAGAACTTACACCAAAAAGTACCACACGCTCGAGCGCTAACAAGTCCGCTCGAGCACGACCCGCTCGAGCACAAGATACCCGCTCGAGCGTAGAAAACGCATCTGCAGAAGTTTTGCAGAGGCACGAAATACTGAAACTGCGAAAACCCCGCTCGAGCGCAGAACGACCCGCTCGAGCGCACCGTTCAGAAACTGGGCAACAACAATGGGAGCTAAAGCTCTACCAACCTGAAACAACCGAGCCCAACACATTCTAAAACTCAAATAAAAGAGTTTAAAGCTTGACAACACGACAGGTACAACTACCAACTCCACGGAACCGCGTCCGGAAAACAACAGAACAGTAAAGGGATAACCGGGATCGCTATACGGGCCCACATATAACAGGTTTTAATTCGAATTCGTAAAGTTCAATATTCAATACAACTTCCTGAACATATAGCAATCATAAATTCAGGAATAATTGGAGTCTAATTACGATACTATTACTCACACTAATTTTGGCGACGTGATGATCCTTCTTGCAAGCAACGTACACAACATGGCACACATACAATTTCAATAAACAATTCGTTCATCTTTCTTTTAAATTAACCACATGTGTGTGTCAATGAGTGCCTATTTATCTTTTAACTTTCCAAAGGGTCTAAGCATAGTCAAAAACACACTCAGAGGGTCGATGAGGTTAACAAGAGTTTATGGATTTCTCTCCTGGTTTCCGCACGTACGGACGGTGCCGTAGGTATGGCCCGCACGTGCAATTAAAGCAGAAAGCTCGGCTCTGTTTCACTCTGGTTTCCGCACGTGCGGAGCTCACTGCCGCATGTGTGGTTCTGGGCTCATCTGTGTTGTCCGAAAATGGGTTCAACTTCAAGCTCCCAAACTCAATTTCAAGCCTCAATTTATGTAAATCCACTTCAAAACACATGATATATATATATATATCTAATTAAAGTGTAACTCAAACTTAATTGAATCAAAACTTGCTTAAATTCCACCATCTTAACCCTAGCTTCCAAGATTCCTTAAATTTCTTCATTTCCTTTTAAATCCAACTAGATCTTCACTTGTATGTAACTCTTCGAGTTCAAAACATACAAAATCTAGAGATTAAGGCTCACATTCTCACCATCAAACTCAAGTCAAGTAAATTCAAAGGAATTAACTCTTAAATCAAGCAAAGCCAAAGAATCAAAGTTCAAATTAATGAACATAGTTTATTTCAAACTTTTGATTCAAAACCCTCACTCATTTGAGTGTTTAAGCTCCATTTTTAAGTCTTGATTTTAACAAATTAAGGAGTAATTCCAAGAGGTTTGGTTGGATTATACATACCTTGAACTAGATCCTTGAATTCTCTACACTTTCCCCAAATCTCCAAGTCTCTAAGTTGATTTCCTCCCTTCCTCTTCTTGTTCTTCCTCTAGCCAAGTTATTGAATCATGAAAATATCTCTAAGGCTCTTTTAGAGGCTCATCCAACATCTATATATACATATATATATACACACACTTCTTAATCAAGGGTGCTTAAGTTTCCTAATTAAGGGTAAGTCTTATTGATTCAAGATTTATTGAATTAAAGCCAATTAATTTGTTCCGAATCAAATTTTTACCAAACTTCACACTAGGCCCTAAAAATTAGGTTGATCGCAGATATTAATTCAATTTTGGTTTCTGGAGCCTCTAAGGCCTTCAATTTTAGTTCAAAGTTGTAAATTTCAACAAGTTTTTCCTACAACAACAGATATAAATTCAAAATCAGATAATTCACACAATTAAGCATGTCATTTCACACCTAACATATAATCACATATAAAATTAAAGAATTAAAGCAAAATACGAGATAGGGTTATCACAGTAGGCTATATCCGGCCTTGTACAACTCATCAGATACATCAAACTCTCAATGATCTAAGAACATTCTAACTGAGAAATACTCTCACTATTATTCTTGGTCAAATGTAGACTCAAGTCTACTGGTGTCCTAGACACACTTGTATCTTATTTATCAAATTTTTCAAGTATCTTCTCAACATAGTGAGATTGAAAAAGTACAACACCACCAGATGTTTTGGTAATCTTAATATCTAGAATCACACCTGTAAGGCCCATATCTTTCATGTCAAACTTAGAGTTTAACAATATCTTGGTAGTTTTAATCATTTCATCATTACTACCAACAATGAGTATGTCATTGACATATAGACACAAAATGACATAGCCTCTGTCTGTGTCTTTGACATATACGCATCTATCACACTCATTGATTCTAAACTCATTTGACAACATAGCATTGTCAAACTTCTCATGCCATTGCTTAGGAGCTTATTTCAAACCATATAATAACTTGACAAGCTTATAAACTTTCTTATTTTGCCCTGGAGTTGAAAACCCATCGAGTTGCTCCTTGTAGATTTCTTCACCTAAATCTCCATTTAAGAAAGATGTCTTTACATCCATTTGATATATCTCCAGACCACGTAAAGCGGCTATCGCAATCACAATGCGAATGGATGTTATTCTTGTCACATGTGAATACGTATCAAAGTAATCTAGGCCTTCTCGCTGCATGTACCCTTTGATAACTAGCATTGCTTCATACTTATCAATTGACCCATCAACCTTCATCTTTCTTTTAAAGATCCACTTACTTCCAAAGGCTTACTGTCTGGGGGTAGATCAACCAACTTCCAAGTATGGTTTTGTAAGATGGAGTCAATCTCATTCTTAATTGATTCTTACTGTGAGGAACTTTCAGGTGAAGTTACAACTTCATGGAAAGTTCGAAGTTCTCCTTCTAACATATAAATTAAGAAGTCTGCGTCAAAGGACTTGGCAGTCCTAAGTCTCTCACTCCTTCTTGGCTCATCTATTTCCTCATCTTGATCACTACCACTGGGATCATCTTCAAGTTTCTTTTCAGAACTTTAATCATTTCCTCAGTTTCGGCAAGGAAATATGTCCTCAAAGAAGCATTCCTCAACTCCATCATAGTATTCCGGTGTATATCTGAAATATCAAACTTGTGCACAAGAAACCTAGATGCACTACTATTCTGTGCATAACAATTGAAAACCGGACCGATGAGTGAACCGAAATAGTGACCGGGTGAACGGGTCACCGATTCACTCGTAGGGTCGAAGCGGTCAAACTATGACATCATAATTACATCATAAATATATTTAAAATATATATTAAATCTGTTTTTCTCAAAACGATTTGCCGGATTTGGACTCTTTGGTTCAGACTTAGAACCGTGACTACAAAAGTCGAGTCCGAGCTGTAGCGAGGTCCCCCGCGGGCTTGTTACAACCTTATTTTATTTGTTGAAGACCTTTCTCTAAACGGGTTGCACAACACTTTTGATAAGCAAAAATTACCGCACAATCTACACATATATCAAAGTTAGAAAATAGAACATATTATAAATACAATCATAATAATGAAAGTAATAAAAGAATTATAGTAAAAGCAATTAATACTACCTATTGGTCAAATAAAAACACAAACATAATCAAATCAAAATACTATAGTTTACTACATCAATTAAGAGTCAAATCTCAAACACAAACATAAACCATGCATAGAGATAAGATCTATAGTTCCAAATCTTAAAACACACTAATAAGCATCCATCATTCCTAAACGAAAGTAGATAAATAAATATATAACAAAAGTTCAAAACCGATCCACTATAAACACATCAAAAACATTGCTTTTTGCCTAATTCCTTGGGAAGCCCTCCATTAGCCAAGCATCGTCATCCTCATTTTCATTGTTGTTTATGCCAATTTCACCACTTTAAGCATTAGATCTATCATCCACGTTGACATCACCAAATGATCCAAGGTCAATATCATCTCCAACCTCTAAGACCACATTATCCTTGTCATCTTCTGCAATAGTTGCAACAAAATCAATAAGTAATCAATTTAAATATAACGAAAACATTGTTATATAATAATGAAATAATTAATTACTAACCATCACGTAAACCATGACATTGCCTCTTATTTTGTGGAGCCAAACCTTCTTCATAAAGCATTTGTTTCAACTCATCCAAATCAAGAAGATGAGGCTCTTCTTCATCTTCCACAATCCAAAACTCGGTTTTGTCAATACTTTCAATGTCAACCAGATCATAGTTATTCATTTTGTTGAAATGCCTATAATTTTAACTTAAAAGTAAGACCACTTGAATAAATATTCTATTAGTAAATGCATGACAAGGTAAATGGTTCATTTACCTATTCTTCAGGCGCAAATTATAATGGATGTATACAAGATCATTAAGCCTTTAATGTTCCAATCTATTCCTCTTCTTTGTATGTTTACATTCAAAAACACTCCAATTCATTTCACATCCAGAAGAGCTACTAGTTTGGCTAAGAATTCGAATAGCCAACTTTAGCAAATTCGGAGCACTGTGGCCGAATAACCTCCACACCATTCATCTTATTATTAAAAGAAAATAAGAAATAAATAAATTAGATCTAATATTACACTTAAGAATTATTAAGCAATCACCATGAAAAGAAAAAAAATCAAATGTAATAAATAATTTTACCTGGTGTTTTGTCTTGGATGTAATAGTAGCAAACTCTCTTCCAAAACTTTCTAATTGATCTTGAAACAATCTAGCTTCATCCAAGAGTTTTGTCTTGCTACATGTAGCTTTTGTTTCAATCACATCAAGCACACTTGCCATAACCTTTGGTTTTTTGCAAAATAATGCTTGATCATAGTGAAAAGCTGGATTCAGCCAATAAGTTGCAGCATGGATATTTTTGCGTAATGTCCTATCCCAACGCTCTTTGACAGTACTTGTATAAGGCTTGTACAATCTTTTTTTTCTTCATGAAAACATTCTTAATTGCTATTCTTGCCCTATACATGCCCTCATATACATATCCCATTGAAGGCTTTTTATTTCCATCAACAATACGCAACAATCGCATGAATGGCTCAACAATCTTAACATTGATCAAGTAATCATTTAGAAACTTACTATCTAAAATGATAGCAACAACTTCTTTTTCTTTATTATCTTTTGCATGCCTTGAATCCACAAAATCCTTACTTGTCACTAAAACTTTCAAATCATGCATATGTTTTTTAATACTATGCAATGCAATGAAAGTAGTGGCAAAACGGGTTGTTCCTGGGCGCACTATTTCAGTTCATCCCTTCCTTTTGCTCAACAAAGCTATCAACCGTGGGCGATTATAAATAAATCTTGTCACAGTTGATGCTCTAAAGGCAAGCTCTTTCACATGTTTCAACTTGGAAATATCACTTAACACTAAGTTCAAACAATGTGTTGCATAAGGAGACCAATTATATTCTTGTACGTTTGACTAACAAGTCTTCTAGCAGCAACATAATTTGCCCCATTATTTGCCACCATGTGCACAATATTGCTCACTCCCACCCACTCAATAATTTCTTCAAACAATTTAAAAAGAAAATGAGCATCTTTTACAACATCGGAGGGATCAATAGATTTAACAAAATTGATTCCTCTAGGGCAACAAGAAAATTAATGAGGGTTATATGTCTACCATCAGTCCAACCATCACCCATAATTGTACACCCAGTATCAACCCAAGTACTCTTTGTAGAGTCAATAAACAATTGAAGCTCTTTCTTTGAGTCATTCAATAAAGGAACTCGAACTTCATGGTAGATAGGAACTTTATATCCTAGACCAATGGCAATTGCAGCATCAAACATGGGCTAAAAGTATATGGAATTGATAACATTCATTGGAACACATGTATCATACAAAAATTTTCCCACAATCATATGTGCCCTATGTACAACTTCTTTAGTTGCAAGGACACTTTTGATGGTTGAGAGCCCCGAGTGGTCTTTGGTGCAAAAAAATTATCAATTTTTGCAGGTTCCTTTCCTTTTCCTTTTTGTGTCATTGTTGCTTTACTCTTATTCCTACTATCACCACATTCATTAATTAAGATGTCCTTATTGCTATGTGGAATTATTTCTTCAATTTCAGCATCATCCTCAAATTCAAAAACAACCCGACCAAAGGGATTAGATTCCTCACTTTGCTTCTTTTTTTTTTCTCAATAATTGATTTCAAAGCCTCTTCCATTCAATACATAACATCACCTGGAACTTTCTTACATGGCCCAACCTCACCAGACTTTCCTATAAGATGTTGCTTTATTCTATTAATCCCTCCACCTTTAATAGTTTTCCCACAATACAAACATGTTAAAGTTCTCTTCCCATCGGGAGCTCGCCCTTCAGTGTTGATGATAGGGTATTAAAGTGTGCTGTTGAATTATGGCTAGATGTATCCATTTCACCTAAAACAACACTATAAAATATATTTATCATGTATATAACAGTTATGATGGGAAAAAAAAAAAACATTAACAAACAAACATTTAAATAATTACAAGATGAAAGTTTATACAGACTATTAACAAACATTAGCAAACCATAACAATTATATTACAGCCCATTAAAAAAAAACAAAAAAACAAACATTAAAATGAATCTTCGCCACCACAGCAAAAGAGGAAGAGATGGAGGAGAGAAAGAGAACAGTTGAAAAACAGAGCAAAGAAACAAGTTACTTAATTGAGCAAAAATTCGATTCATCCTCATTGGGAATTAAGTTAAAAATGAATCTAGCTTTTTAATTAAAATGTAAAATAAATGCAAAATGGTTAACAAGTCCCCATTCACCATGCAAACTTAACACAAGTAGGGAGACAGCTCTTTCATTTTCAGAATTTTTTTTTTTTTTAAATAAAGGAAACTTGTTTGACAAATAAACACACAAAAAAAGATATGTTAGAGTAAAAATTTCTACTTGAAAAAGATAAAAACCATATGAAAAAGATGGGTATTTTTAATGTTTTTCAAAATTTTCATAAATTATATTTTAGATTTTAAAAATTTTTTCGTTCACCAAATCATAAATTTTTTGAAAGCACTTTTTCCACCCAAAAAAAAAAAGAGAAAAATTAATAGGTGAAACAAAAGCAAATCAAAGACAAAACAGAACGAAATTTAACACGCACATAATAGTCACACATATATATATATATATATACACATGAGATAAGAGGTTCAGAGGAATAGGAATAATATACCCGTGTATACGTGCCAACAACAGTGACAAATGTAAGCAATCCGAGAAAAGAAAAAAAGGTTTAATTGGAATTTGGGTTCACCAAACCAAACAGATTTTCGTTCACCAAATCATAAATTTTTTGAAAGCACTTTTTCCACCCAAAAAAAAAAAGAGAAAAATTAATAGGTGAAACAAAATCAAATCAAAGACCAAACAGAACAAAATTTAACACGCACATAATAGTCACATATATATATATATATATATACACATGAGATAAGAGGTTCAGAGGAATAGGAATAATATACCCGTGTATACGTGCCAACAACAGTGACAAATGTAAGCAATCCGAGAAAAGAAAAAAAGGTTTAATTGGAATTTGGGTTCACCAAACCAAATAGATTTTCATTTACCAAATCACAGATTTTTGCTCACCAAATCACAGATTTTTGTGTACAGGAAGCCATCCCCAAAACACAGATTTAAATGGGTTCAAAAAAAAAAACTAGTTCACCAAATCACAAATTTTTGCACACCGGATTTGTGTCCTCCGTTCACTGCCGAAATTCTATGGCTGTTGGAGCTGGACAAAGAGAAAGTGACAGTTTAAGAGAAGCCAAAACCGGCGATGGCGACACCTAGAAAAGAGAAAGAGAGAGAAGAGCTGAAACCCTTCTGTTAGCCCTAGGATTTGGGATTTTTTGAGGGCTATATATATATTCAACTGAACCGGCCGGGTTTCAAAACCCATTCCAGGTCGCTAGTTTAGACGGTTCGCTCACCGGGTCTGCCAGCTCTTTTGTTTTACAGCGGTTTTGCTCTTCAGCTGAGTTTAGAGGGTTTTTTGGGCTGAAACAAGGCCCAATTACCAGTAGGACCGGTCCGACCAGCTGCTCCGGTTCGAGTTTCTAAACATTGGTGCATAACCAATGAATATATAATACATGGTTTTCAGACCTATTCTAATCCGCTTAGGTGTAGGTACTGCCACTTTTGCAAGACACTCCCACATTCGTAGGAAATTATAAGAAGGCTTGCGGCCTCTCCATAATTCATATGGAGTCTTGTCCACTTTCTTCCGAGGTATTCTATTTAGAATGTAACTCGCGAAGAGACTTGCTTCCCCCCACAAGTTCTGTGACAACCCAAAACTTATCAACATTACATTCATCATTTCTTTCAACGTCCTATTTTTTCGCTCAGCAACATCATTTGACTAAGGGGAATAAGGTGTTGTAGTTTGGTGAATAATTCCAAATTAAGCACAAATCTCAATAAAAGACGATTCATATTCTCCACTACGATCACTTCTTAAAGCTTTGAGCTTTCGGTTTAGTTGATTCTCAACTCCATTCTTAAAAAGAATAAACTTATCAATCAGCTCATCTTTGCTTTTAAGCAAACACATATAATAGTACTTAGTGCAAATCATCAACAAAAGTGATGAAGTACTTGTTGCCACCACATGATTGTACAACTTTCAAGTCACACACATCACTATACACTAAATCTAAAGATTCGGTACTTCTTTCAACAGAATGAAAGGAAGTCCTTCTCAATTTAGCTTCTACACAAGTTTCACACTTATGATTTGGATTAATCTTAAAAGATGGTATGTGATCTAACTTAATTAATCTACGCAACAAGTCAAAATTCACATGACCAAGTCTATAATGCCATAATTCAGGGGACTCAAGCATATAAGCAGAAGAAGAAGCTTTCTCATTAACTTTAGGGATAATAGTCATTAGATTGAGCTTACACATACTACCCTATATATATCCCTTCCCCACACAGACCCCACTCTTGGTCAACCCGACCTTATCAAACTCAAACACCATGCGGAAGCCATGCTTGCTTAAGAGCGACCCCGAGACAAGGTTCTTACAAATTTCCTTAACAAATAGGATATCGTTCAGAGTAAGCTCTTTTCCTAAAGTCATCTTCAGGGCCACCATGCCTTTACCCTCAACAATTGAGGTCGCAAAATTTTTCATGAACAACTTCTCACCGTTTGAAACCAATTCGAAAGTTGTGAACATCTTCTTCTCAGCACAGATGTGGCGAGTAGCCCCAGTGTCCACCTACTATTCCTTCGGGTTAGACCCCACCATGTTCACCTCAGAGACAATAACTGATAGATGATCTTGTGACAGATCCTCCATTTCAGCCATGGGAGCCCGACTTTTGTTCTGTGGAGGGTACTTCTTGTAAGGCTTCTTCTTCTTGTGGCAATCAATCGCCCAATGCCCATCGTTTTCATAGTTGAAGCACTTTCCATTGAACCTAAAAGTAGGTTCATGCGGCTTGTAGACTGGCCTTTTGGAGACACCGTCTCTTGCCTCCAAATTTGAGCTTTTGCCTGTCGGTGGCTTCTTCGTCACCCACGAGGACTGGCCATGCTCAACCATGTTTGCTGTCACAGTGGAGGTACTCCCTTATTTCTTCCTATTATCATCCTTAATTCGGAGCCTGACAACGAGTTCTTCAACTGTCATCTCCTTTCGCTTGTGCTTTAAGTAGTTCTTGAAGTCTTTCCAACCGTTAGGCAGCTTCTCAATCAACGCAGTTACCTAGAATGATTCACTCAAGAACATTCACTCTGCATGAATCTCATGACAGTTTTTAAGTCCACCATTTTGAAGTCCAGAAATCGGCCAACGACAAATTTCTTTGCCCCAACATCCTCGGTCTCGTACTTGTCTAAAGCATTCCACAACTCCTTTACTGACTTCTTGGCATAAAACACGTTGAACAATGAATCGGCCAAGCCATTCAGAACATAGTTTAGGCAAAGAAAGTCTAACTGCTTCCAAGTATCTAAAGCCATGAGTTTTTGCTTGTCTTGCTCATTCTCCTCCACGACTGGTGGATCCTCACTCAAAAAGCTCGCAAGACTAACAGTAGTCAGGTAAAACAACATCTTCTGCTGCCACCTCTTGAAATTCACTTCAGTAAACTTCTCCAGGTGCTCATGATAGTTGAGCGGTCCTCCTGGAACAGTAGGAGTAACAACAGGGTTGACCACAGAGGTTGGCAAGCTAGTTGCCCCAGGGTTCTGATCCTCACCAACATTAGCAGCAGCAGCAGCATCAGTGACAGTTGCCATTTCTGAAAAATACAACAGAATTTCACTATTCTATGTTTCCATAAATTAAACTTAGCACTAGAAAATTCCAAAGTTGAAAATTAATTCAAAACTAGTCTCACCACTTACTCTAGAATCAAACATGGTCGAGAAAGTTTCCAAGAAGACTGGAGAAGTCACACCGATCCCACTTAAGTTCTAGTTAACCTTAGACAAAACTTTCAAGAGCATGTTGACTCCTAGTTCATGGGAAACAAATTTAGAATTAAGTTTTCCAGGAGATAAATTAGGTTAAAACAAACCAAGTTCCAAAACTTTACAAGCAATTAAAACCTGCTAACCAAATTACAAGCAATTAAAAAAAAATTACTACTACAATTACAAGGAAATAAAATACTTCTAACATTACAATCAAACAAACTTGCTTCAAAAATTATATAATTAACCACTACTAAACTCAAGCAAAATATTACTTCAAGTATAAAGGAATATAAACCAATCACAATAGAATTCTTGTTGGTCCAAAAATCCCTCTCCATTCATAGGTATTTCTGTTCAACAAGAGTTAGTAGTCCAAACTTTTGGTTTTACAGCCACAAATACTATTCATTTGGATTTATATTTTTTTTTTTCCCATTCTCTTTTGCATAGGTATTCCTGTAGAGAAAGTTAACAGAAAAACACAACATAATATAATGCACACATTATTCACAAAAATATCCCTCAGCTTTTCTTTGCTTTTGGCAAAGTAGTGATTGAAGAGAGATGGAAAAAAAACGCTTTCTAACAATCTAATTAACAGCAAAAATAAGTAAAGAATACAATGCTAGACAAGTGACACAATTAAACTTATAACTCCCAAATAAAGCTAAACAAGTTACAAACCTTATAACTCAACAAAAAATTAAATTAAAATTAATTGGCAAGAGTTATAAGAAATTACTACACAATAAACATGTAAAAAATTCTAGCAATCATGCAAATAACTCTAGAGCAATTAACATGTAAATTAAACTAAAAATTAGAATGCAACTCATGCAAACAATCCTAGAACTCTAGAAAATAATAAGCATGTAATTTAACTTAAATCTACAAAAAAATTTAGAACATGCAAATTAGCCTACAAATCTAGAGTTAATAAATATGTGAAGTAAAATAGAATCTACAATATTGAGCATGTATATTTTAACTTGAAAATTAGAGACTCATGAGCATGCAAATTATATTATAAAATAAAGAAGTATACAAGTCATGGTAAAACTAGAATTAAACATGTAGCATGTAACTTGCCCATAATATCATAACCGTATACTAAAACCGAATACATGGCAATCTACATTGTGGTAGCAAAATTATAAAATAACTAATATGTATATTAATACACAGAAAACCAACCATCATGGAAATCTATTTAAAAAAATGAATTTCGTATCACGAATCAAAGTCATAGCTTTATGTAATAAAACATAGTGGTCTATGCTACAGGTGGTTCGGTTTCGGTGGTTGGAAAACAAAACAGTAGCATGCATATATTATATATAAATAAGAAACAGTGGCCTTATATATTGTGTGGGTAATTTTCTGACCACACTGCCCGCCTAGTAATCAGCTAGAGAGCACCGACAGAATAGATGGCTTCAACATTTTTGTAACAGAAAGAAAAGGCTCCGGCGGTGGCTCTTCCACTCGGGGGCACTCCAACGATCAAGTCAGTATATCTCTCAAAGATAATCAAGTGTTAAACTCACAAGCTTAAGCCTAAAACTGTGTACCTTAGACCCACAGGGGTGCCTCTCTTTTATAATTTACTCAATCCAAGTCCTACTAGAAGCCTGACTTCTATGGACTCCAATTCAGTGCTTACTTTGGATTCCTCGAGAGATAAAGATAAACTCCCTAAGAGCTTTATCCTTATCTTAGCAAAGTCTTCTCTTTACTCTAGGACTTATGTCCCTTATCTTTTATCCATTTATCTCGGATTCCGATATCTTCGGAGATAACCTCGGCCTTGCCAAGATAACCTCGGCGTCACAACTTGGACACGTGGCACCTCAGCTGACACGTCGGCGTCACCTTGCCACGTGTTGGTATTCAGAAAATACATCCCCACAACTGCCCCCTAGGTTCTATTACCTCAGCATTCTGAGGTGATGGAACATATATCTGTATTGTCTTCTAGTACCTCGGCGTAAGAACTCTTCGGCTGAGATTGTCAAGCCGATATGTCTTGTTTTCAAGAACAAGAACTCAAATGAACTTTCCCACGCGCACGAGCTGTCATGCATCACTTCTCAACCGTTTCCTGCACACGTTTTATCTTTATTGGCCCGTGCCTGCGACGCGCTTATAAACCACATTTTTTCTGCGCACACCGCCTGACGTATGCGATGTCCTAGGCGCATTAAATGCCCTATTTTGCCGCCATTTCAAGTTTTTAACAAAACTTTGTTTTTTTTCCCTCTTTCTTTCCTTACCTTTGTATTCAATTTACTTGCTTTTCTATCTCTAAAGCCCTTGCTTCTTAAATCCGCCATTGCTAAGGCTCCAAGTTCTGCAACCATCTCTATTCGTCTTTCTGGTGAAACTTTTACCACTCTAGTACTTCAGTAACCGTTGTCTATCTTCGGCGAATTCTATTTCGGCTTCAATTTCTTTGGTAAGTCACTATCCTTTCTGATTTCAATTCTTGACTATTTCTGGAATCTCCTGTTATTACTGCCTTGCTCAAATAGCTATTTTTTGAATCATACATTTGAATGTGTTTACTCCTTGATTTGGCCCTTGCCTATATCTTGAACACACGCACCATTGCACTACTCCACTATATTTTTGCCACTGATCCTAGTCCTTTATTTCTCGTATTCTTCATGTTTTTGATAGCCCATCCCTGTTTCTTGTTTCTGAAATTTCGCCTTTGTTTTCTGTTTTTTGTGTCTTTGCCAGATCTCTGCCTTCAATTTTTGCTTTCAATCTTTGCCTTCATAGATTTAGGTTTGGGATTTGTCTATAGAACCTGTCAATTCTTAGGAAAAAACTGAAATAATCCTTACCAGTACATACCTAGGGTTTCGCCGAGGTCCTGATAACCCCTTAAGAGCATCTTCTTTCTGAAACCTAGCCCTCTGATTTTAGGCCGACGTTATGGGTATGTGGAGGCACAGGATAGATACCCCAACCAAACTTGAGTACTTTAGGCAGGAGTTCTCCATTCCTACCGATGTCCACCTGAGACTTGCTCGGGATAATGACTCTATCATGCCTACAGAAAATACCATGCCCTTTCCCATTGTAGTTTTTACTGAGTGTGGACTCCGGCTCCCACTCAACATCCTTTTTCGCAAGATTCTTCATTTTTATAAGTTGAACCCCATGCAACTGACAATCAACTCTTATCGAGTGATTTTCGGTATTATCGCCTTAGCTAAACAGGAAAACGTTAGGATCACCTTAGCCGACATACAATACTGTTATACCATGTGCGCCCTTAATCTGAAGGAAAAAGGCTTCGTTTATTATCTTAAGCCGAGGTCCACTGAATTCAAAATCGTAGCCGACCTCCCAGACTCCAACAAGGGGGCTGGAGATGACTATGTTATTGCTTCGGGAAATTGGGAGTTTGGCGCAGACGAGGACGCCCATCTCTACCCTCTTCCCCGATCAGTTAAAGAGGGCAAGGGTAAGAGCCCAGTATCAATACTTAGTTGTTTCTGTTCAAGTCTTCAATATTTTATCTGTTTCTAATGTATGTTTCTTCTTGCAGACGTTCGCAAGCCAGCGAAAGACTTCCGGCAATCTTACGTTCCTAGTAAGGACCTGAAAAAACTCCTGGACTTGCCAGTTCACAAAAGAAAAGCACCTCTTCTTCTCAACTTTATTCCTACATACAAATCGATTTTGCCCTACGTTCCCAAACGAAAGAAGAAAAGCCTTTCTCCTCCTACTGCCACAACTCAAACCGCCTCTACATCACGAACAGATCAAGAGTCAACATGTGACCCAACCAATCAACCATCTACCTCGGCCCTATACTTAATCCCAATACCAGAAAGAAAACGTCGACGACGACTTGTCAAAACTGCTGAGATGGGTCGCCCGAAGCCTGTTGCTGTAGATCTCTTAGCCGACCTACCTGCCGACGTTGATGCTGTTCCGACTCAATCCATGCCCCCACCAAAGCCAAAAAGAATCAAAAAGGCCCAGCCCAAGGCCAAAGCTACTGAGGTTGAGGCTGAGGATGCTCTGCCCATCTCACAATTGGCTGAGAGTAAAAAAACTGCTTCTGCTTCTGCAAAAAGGTCTGCTGAGGCCCAGCCATCAGAGTCACCCAATCAAAGAAGCCGAGGTCATCGTCTGCGACGACCTCGGGTTCCATAATACCAAAAGTCCCCTGGACACCTGAGATCACTCTAGAGGATAAGCCTGTCCTTGCCAGCGACAGCGCCGATGATATAAACGTCGGCGTGGCACTCAGTACTGCTCTACTCCTCCCAAGCGATCTGGAGTGGAATGCCAAGATAAGTGAGTATGAGAACTACGCCTTAATGCTCCAGCACTCTGTTCAAGTAAGTGTTCCTGTTTTTTGACTTTCTTTCTGTTTCGTACTTAAAATATTTTCTAACACTTCTATTTTCTCTCAGGCTATCCAACATGCTCATTTGTTTTCAGTGCAATCTTTTAAGAATCGGGAAAGGATGACCGAGATGAAGAATGAGTTTTCTGCCCTGCAGAAGACCAACAAAGGTCTTCAACTAAAAATGAAGAAGCTGGAAGACCAGGCCGAGGCTGCAACTAAGGCCTAACAGATAGCCGAGGAAAAAGTTGAATCAGCTGAGGCCATAAGGAAGGTCGCCGAAGCAGAGAAGATAGAGGCCGAGGACAGAAAGGCCCAAGCTGAAAAGGAACTGCAGGAGGCCCTGGCCACCAAGGATATTGAAATTAAGGAGGCCGACGAAAAGGCATACGCCCAGGGTATGGCTGACGTCACTGAAGAATACAAACTTCAGGTCAGGCAGGCATGCAACAGGGGCTTCTCCCTGCAAGTTAGGCAGGCATGCAACAGGGGCTTCTCCCTTGGTTGGATGGCCCTTGCCAAAAAGCTCAACATCCCAGATGACTTGCCATTGCGCAAGGCTGATGATATCCCTCTGCCATTCCCTCCCCTCCTCCCCCAAGTCATCCTGAAGAAGAATCTGAGTCTGAAGATATGGATGGGGGTGAGGAGGAGGGTTTAATAAGAAAA